GGGTGTAGGGTTAAGGGATCAAGTGTGTAAGGGTTTAGGGGTTTGGAGTTTAGGGTTTCGGATATACCTGGAGATTCAAAAACCCACTGTTTTGAAGGCTATTTCCCATACTGAAAGGGTCACGACCTTCTGTTTTGTGTATGTACAGGGCAGGATCATAGGGTTGTTAGGTTTCTTGTGAGAGGTTTCATATGTCGTCGTTGAATGTACTTGTGTAAACATCTCTCTGCATTCGATGAGGTTAAGGGGCATGCCTTTTGGGGTTTGGACTTTGGGGGCTTGGGGCTTCGAGGTGGTTCAAGTCTTCGGGGCTCCAGGCTCCCAGGGGTGCTGGGGTCAGTTTAGACGGGGCTCTTTAAGAAAGTTGATGAATGCAATTGTATTTTACTTCGCTTGATCTTGTGGTTAATGGCTTCTGGGCACAGAAACCAAGCAATACATAATCCACGTGCAGGTTACTGGATCCACAGGTACTCCGTACAATCTGTACCAACCGATAGAAACTGCACTGAATTAGTTGCCTATGCTTAGACAATAAAGCTTTACGAATCCATAGAATCCCTAGAAGCCCTAAGCCAAAACTCTAAGTTCGAAGCCCTCTTGGATGCAAAAACCCGGCCGTCGGAAGGCGCAATGCCTGCACTTTATGGCAGATCTCCGCCTGGCCCTGAGCAATGCATTTCCTGCTCTTGTGCTAAGGTTCAGGGTGTAGGGTTTGTTTTTTCTGCTTTTGTCCTACCCAAAGAGTCCAAGTACTCCGGTATAGGACTCGAGGGCCGTTTTAGGTATCAAGAACCATAAGTAAGGACTATTTGGACCCTCAGGGCTACCTATAGTCTCCATTGTAGTTTCTTTTTTGGGGTTACCTAAATAGGATCCTTAATGTATTGTTGGTCAAACCAGAAAAAGGAACTGCAATGGAGACTATAGGTAGGGTTCAGGGTTTGGGATTGTTGCGTAGGTGTCCGGCGGCTTGGAGAGTTTCCGATTTCGAACGGTTTAGCTTACTGGAGAGGTCTGAATACTTCTGAGTTGCGACTAGAGTCGAAAGCCCTCCAAAACCTCAGACAAACAATCCAGTCTTTCTTTATTTATATCTGTATTTATCTCTATTATATATATATATATATATGTTTATTTATTTGTATGTATTGGTACAATATGCTATAATGTAGAGCTCCAGGTTTTCAATGTTATGCGTTCCGGGTGGTCTCGTCAACCACTGGACCACCAAGTTTGAGAACAGGGTTTCGATTGCTCCTTCGTCTGACAGCCGAACTGAAGACCGCATGGAGCATAGGCTTGGGGACCATGTTTCGGTTTAGGGTTTAGGGTTTAGTGTGTATAGATACACACACACACACACACACACACACATCCAGTCCACACAGACATGCCGTGCAAACGTCTGTATTGTTCCGGGTGTGTGTGTGTGTGTGTATCTACGTACAATTTCACACAAAAGCATCGTTTGAGACTGCAGACATCTTCACTTGCGGGTACGCACAACCTTCTGAAGTCGGTAGCTCAAAGCTTGGGGCTCGGGGGTGAGTGTCCGCTCCACCCGGACGCGCCGACAGTGGGCGCACATAGGTTTGTCCGAGTTTATGTAAGGAGGCCACGTACTTGTATGGAATACACTTTGACCTTGGTGGGTTTCGCCTTTTGGCAGTTTTAGAGTCTAAGTACATACTACGCTTGAATATGGAACCTCAGTGCTGGCCTGCCGTCTAACCCTCCGTCCTTGCATTTGCCAAAGCCGAACTAGGGAGTGCAGTTGTTGATCTCGACCATGCAACTCTCTCTGTGAAAGCCTCCTTGTTATCCTAAGGGCTGCATCTATCCGAGAGCCCTCAGGCAGTCAGATGGGAGACCTTGATGCAGCGCTGGAGAACGCTGAAGAGCGCCTCGCAGTGCCTCGGCGCAAGCTGTCGGCCTAAGCTGTCGGCCTGTAAGGTTCTCGTGATGGTTTTTGCTGGGGATCTTTGAGGATTTTTGAAGTCCATGATTTGTGGTAGTTTAGGAATGACCTTGCCGAGCCAGCTCCGGGAATGGCGAGGGGAAGCCTCGTCAGAGGCTCACGGCAGTGTCGGGGTAGTGTAGGGTAGAGAGGCCCTGTACAGTCCCTGTTTCACTGATGCTATGCAGAAATTGAGCTGCTCGCTGACCTTCGTATATTCCGCTAGACAGCCCTCAACCCCCGACACCAGCAAAGGCTAAAGCCCCGATCCCTAAACCCGAATGCACTGCTACAGCACTGCGTGCAGTGTATTGAACCCGATCCCAATCCCTAAACTGCCCTAAACCTAAAGTCCCCAAGCCTGAAATCCCCAAACCTACAACCCCCAAAACCTAAATTCCCCATAGCAGAGATCCTAAAATCCCTTGAACGAAACCCATAACCTTGCAAAGTATCGCAAGAGATGGTCAGGTGCTTCGATCACTGCACGATTTGAGCATGGAGGCCGGTAGAGAAGCAGGTTAGGGCTGGTTTGGGGGTTTTGATACGGGGTTTGGGGTCGGCAGGGAGTCGGGTCAGAGTCAGGGTTTGGATTATCTTCGTAGCTGAGTGGATACACACTACACTTTTTCGGATACGACTACCCACTATAGAAATAAAAGTGTACACTCTCGGGGGGCTTAGGAACTCAGCAACTAAGTTATAGTAGTGCAGCCACAGTGTCTGTCTCCTCCTTTTCGTTTCAACTACGACACGTGACACTGCAGGAGCATCTTCCACTCATACCTGACCCGTTGCCGGGAAGTGTGACCCGAAATTGGAGCTTGTGTAGGTCATGATCCAAAGTGTGGGGAAGTTTGGGCTACACTCTTCTACTGGCGCAGTCTGTCCTGGCCACATTGCCGGAACAGTCGGGCTCTGTAAGGATACATATTCCAAATACAGCTTATTGTTAATTCGGGGAATCTTTTCCTCTGGATGTATGTATTTATCTATGCATGGCAAGGCATGGCATGGCATGTATGTATGCATGTATGCATGGATGCACGAATGCACGGATGTATCCTTACAAGGAAGCAAGGAAGGAAGGCTCAGGGGTTTAGACTTGGGTTTTCTTTGGTTCGAGCAATTGAACCCTGAGCCGAAAAGACGTGACGACGGCAGGCGAATGCCATGATGCAGCTTGCCAACCTGCACATCAAGGTGCCTGTTCCGAGTGGTGCGCCTAGTGATAGGTGAGGTGCTGCGGATCCCCTAAACCCTAAGCCCGAACCCTTAAACCCTAAACCGTGTGCCTCCTGTCTGTCCTGGCGTTGCGATACGTGTCCCGAGTTGTGCCCAGGCCTTAGCCCTTCAAGTTTAGTCGTATACAGGTAGGCCTTTGCATGGTTCCACACAGTCTCCTGGTCTTCCTGTCCTGCCCCTGGAGGTTTTTCCCCCGAGTTCTGCTGAGGACAAACCGCAAAACCTGAAATCGTAGAAGCCCTCTGAAACACCTTCAAAAACCTGCCATGCCCCGCATGAAGTCGGATCTCGACATAAACCCTATAAGTCCAATAACTGCATATAGACCCCGCCGGAACCCCACTCAGCAACTTTACAGAAGCCATAAACCTCGTAGAATTGCCAGAAGAGCTCATACGGCCGAAAAACTTCATAAACCCCCGCTTTGATCCCTGAACGCTTTAGTAAACCCAGTAGAAAAATCGCAGTTTAAAAATCTCACGCAATAAGCTTCTGACCTATAGACGCTGGAGTAGAAGACCAAGTGACCTCTGGATTCTGGGAGCTTCCGAAAATAGGGGACCCTAGTATAGTACCCTAAATAGTAGGATCCTTGTTATAAGGACCCCAAATCAAGGTACCCCTAATTTTCGGAAACTCCCTCTGGGGCACCGCACAGGACGACAACTTCGAGGAGGCAGAGCGGCTGGCCAAGGAGATCCGCAGGGTGTCGAGACCTTCCAAAATCCTTTAACTAAAGATTATACCTTAAATCATATTAGGGATCCCTACTATGATTTAATAAGGTATAATCCTTAATTAAGGGTGTCGAGGTGTTTGTTGGTTTACGGTTTCCCGAGGGCTTCAGGGCTTAGTGTTGCTTTAGGGTTACCTTCAAGGATTTTTCTAAAGGGTCCTATCAAGGTTACTTTAAAGGGTATTCTGCGGGTATGATATAGGGGTCTGATAATTACCAAAATACTATTTTTTTGTCCGGGGGGGGAGGCCCTTATTATAGATAGACTAAAATAGGCCCCCAAAACCCTACTCTGATTACGAAGCCCCCATATTATAGTGATAATTTAGGGCTTAGGGTGGTTTGTGTAAGGGTTTCAGGACAGCATTTTGCAGTTTCTTCGGACTTATGGCACAGAAGGTTCCGTAAGGTTTCAATAACTAGGATGCCCAGTAGTACCCTGATTCCCTTTTTGTAGTCCTAGGTTCCTTATAAAGTTACCCAATACCAAAAAGAGAGGCCTTTTTATTCTTAGGTTCCTTAAGGTTTCAATAAAGTTATGCGGTCTCGTTGGGTTTAGCATGACTCACTCCATCGAGCCAGTTGGCAATGCCAAGGCATCATAGAACCGCAAGGCAACTTCGCTTAGGGTTTTTAGGGTTTAGGGTTTAGGGTTTTTAGGGTTTTAGGGTTTAGGATTTTAGGGTTTGGGGGTTTGAGGGCTTAGGGGTTTGGGGGTTTATAGCGTTTAGGCAACTTCGCCATGCTTCTCAATCCATCTGTGGAATGCAAGTGCCCGAACTGCACGGCGCATCAGGACTTGGAATGGCCTGCAGGACCATAAACTCTTAAGCGAAAGTCTCCTCCAAATTCGGAGCTTGTAGATCTTGAGAGTGTGTATCATGCAGAATGTAGATCTAGTCGGAGCCTTGGATTTGTCTCGTGTGTCAGCAAACAAGGGCTCTCACTAACAACCCTCAATTGAGAACCCTAGCTGCTCTAGCTCGCAGAACCCACCATGTCTCGGCGAAGCAGCCGCTTCATCTCTAGCGTAGCAAGGTCTTTCTTGGGCCCTCTACCATGGCAACAGCACGTACAGCCGAAGAGCTGCGAGCAGAGATCGAGGCCGCCCGGCGCCAAATTGCGGCAGAGAGGGCCAGGCGGCAGGAGCTCAAGGCCGAGACGGCCCAGGCGGCGGAGCGGCAGAGGCTCCGTATGGAGCTGGACTTTGCGAGGCAGCGTTTGGAAATGGAGCAGCAAGAAAATCAGCGTGAAGCCGAGCGTCGACGGTCCTTGGATGAGGACCAGAGCAGTTGGCTTTCTTTCGTCGAATCCTCCGATCTTGGACGACCAGGCGGAGAATACATACGGCCCCAAACTGTGTTGCTGGCTAGTGGTGGAAACAGCACTGACTGCGCAAAACAGGTCGCCAAGGGCGAGTACGTCTGGCGAATCACAGGCTACTCCTGGTTGAAGGGCATGATTGAACAGGACGACCAGGAGTACCTTGTCCAATCCGAGGTGTTTCATTTGGGTGATGAGACGTTCGTGTTTTGCTGCAACCCGTGGGCAAGCGAGCTTTGTCAGGATTATCATGGGTCTCTCGCCATAGTGCTGTCGACGGACGCTCGCGTTATGCTTCGGTATCGCATCTACGTCAAAGCGCGTAACGGTGAGTTCTTGCAGTGGGGCGAGACACGAGATGTCGTCCACCGCGGCCACCCAAACAGGTGGGCTGCATACGGCCCCGATGTGCATTGGCCGGGTCATCCTCCTGCTTCACCGGGCATCTTTGGGCTGAGCCATGAGGAGCTGCTGCAGTCCGAATGGGTGGAGAACGACACGTTGACCGTGAAGTTCGAGCTTGAAGTTCGTCCCGACAGGTGGGCAGACTCGGTGCCCTTCAGCCTTGTAGGGGAGGTTCCTCAGCCAACTATGACTGGCGACACACGGGCGCTCTTGGAGGAAGGCAAGTTCAGCGATGTGAGGTTCATGGTGCAGGACCAGGTGATCCATGCCCACTCGCAGATCCTTTGTGCTCGATCCGAGGTGTTCAGCAAGCAGTTGACTGGCGGCATGCAGGAGAGCATGTCTAAAGTCATCGTCATCGAAGATTGCGATGTCGCTACGTTCAATGCTTTCCTTCAGTTCCTCTACACCGATCAGCTTCCGGATGCCAAGGAGCTCCTTCCGAAGGGGGCATCAGGCGAGCCCCAGAATGACAGCGGCAACCCTAACTTGTCAGGGATTCAGGCGCTTTTGGCCGTCAGTGACAAGTATCAAGTCAAGAGGCTTCAGCTGTGGTGTGAAGCGAAGCTTTCCGAAGAAATCAACGCTTCACAGGTCTGTGGCATCCTCTGCCAAGCGCATCTGCTGCAAGCGAAGCCGCTCGAAACGGCATGCCTTTCCTTCATCAAGGACCACATGAGCCAAGTGCTCACGACGCCTTCCTACATTGAGCTTGTCAAGAAGTGGCCTCAACTCGCTCTGAAGGTCAGCCTCTTCTCGGCGGGCGTGTCCGAAGCCGAGGCATTGGCCACCATAGATGAATTGGTGAAGCCGCAAGAGCAACCATCGGCGGAGCAGACGGCCGACTCACGACGCTAGCCCAGGCAACGAGGCTCCGAGGTATAACTGTATGGTGCTTAGGGACTGTACGACGCTTGACAGGGGGCGCGTAGACAGCTAAGCACAGACTACATTTTAGGAAGTCATAGCCAATCGTGCTATGCGACGAAGTGCAATCCGACAGAGGATCTGGCCAGATCCGACGAAAAGATTCGCTGATCTCGAGTTAATACCGTTTAAACCAGACAATGACCTAGAGATAGGAGAGCGCTCCCGCAGCATGTGGGATGTGACATCTTCATGTGAAAGCTTTTGCACACCAATGGCCAAAGACGAAACCCCAAACCGGAAAGGGCCGGAAAGCCGCTGGTGCACTGGTCTAGCCTTGCGGGCGTCAGAGTTTAAAAGGTTGGAATATCTGGGGCTTAGGGTTTCGAGTTTCAGGGTTGTGCGAACCCCAATCAACCCCCAAACCCGAAACCCTAATCAAACCCAAAGCCTTAAGCCCCACTCCTTGCCGCCCTTCGAAGGAGTCTCACGACCTCGGCAAGAAGGATCGGAATCCGAGGTGCCGCCTTCGATGGTTCCGGGCCAGGCTCTAGGCTCAAGGAGGTAGGGGTAGAGGACGGTAGAGGGGTTTAGGGTTTACGGGGATTTAGGATGAACGGGTTCAGGGTTTAGGGTTGCGGGAGGGGTTGTTAGGCTTTACAGCACAGTGCACAGTACTTGATGTTTGCTGGAAACATACAGTAGGGTCGATAGTTGGTTTGAGCAGACGGTTTAGCGTAGGGCTCGGGCTGGTTTGGGGTTCGGGATTGAGGCCCACAGTTTACCGTGGGTGCCCGGCTGGCACTGTGTGGATAAGGAGTGAGGGAATCAGGCTTGATGTGTTATTGGCTTAGCATTGGCAGTGGACCCACAGCTTCATAAGTTTTCGGGTATCAATGCAAACGACAGCCCCGAATCCAAAATGTGACAGCTATGACTCGCATGAAGGCATAGGAATCAAGACGTTGTACCACTTAGCACTTGGAACAGAAACCAACTCCACCTGACGCCACCTGAGGCCCTGGCATCTAAAAACCTAAACCCATGATATAGAAGCCTAAGTATTTGCCACACTGACTCATGTCCGTATGGCTGCTTCATAACATGCTAGTAACGGCCTGTTCTAGTTATTATTGCCCCTACGTTAAGCCGGGGACCCTTTGCCCCCCAAGCCAAGAATATACCCTACACAAGTACGAACACAAGCAGGGTCCAGATCGACGCCCTCTTGCTTCAAGCCCAGCTGCTGAACACAAAGGTCTTGGAGAAACCTGAGGCCAGTTGGGACGTTTCGGGAGTGTACAGGTGGTTTAAAGATTTGCTGCTTGGGAAATACCTGAACGCTGATTTAACCTATCCTCTAAGGATATTATAGTATGGTTTCCGTGTGCATACACACATATGTACGTACATGCATACATACTTACTACTGGTAGCTTACCGCTGGCTCAGGTGGGGCTTGGGACTTGGGAGTAAGGGATCAATGGTTTCGGTTGAGGACATCAGGTTTAAGATTTCGCGGTTTCTGGTGTGGCAAGTTTGGTGTATGAAAAGGGGGGTTGGACATGTGGAACTAGGGGCTTTGAAGGGTCTTTTCGTGATTGGCCGCGGGAGTTCGAGATGACCGTTTTTGGAGATCTTTTGGGCCCTAACTTAACCCCAAACCCTAAACCCTAAACGGGTCTAGAGTCTAGTGTCTACCGTAAATCACCATTCGGGGGTAACTTGTTCAAGGCCTTCGATACATGTTGAGCTCTGCGGGTCGAGAGGTTTCTGGACTTGTGGTCTGGCATCTGAAAGCCTAGTGCAAGAGACTTGTGCGAGGCGGTCACTTCTGCCGCCTAGCTCAAAAGCCTGAGATCCTAAGCCTCCCATCTCTACGATTCACTACGACGCTTATGGGTAGTTGTCAAAATTTATGGCCCCTTTTTGGGTACCCCAAATATTAGGTGCCGTATGATATTCAGTACCAAAATTTTGACAACCACTCATATAGAGCCCCTTTATGGAGCTCTTGTGGAATCCTGCAGCCCACAGCACCCTTTTGATGCTCAGAATCCTTACGGAGCCCTTTCAGGATTTCCATTAAATAAACTCCACTCTCTCACCCTCCGGACATAGAGCCCCATAGCCCTCAGGCTCAAAGTAGCGAATTGCCAAAGCTATGAGCCCTTAGAGTCCGTAGAGTTCCAGGGGCAAGATCCTAAGAATCGAATCAGGACAAGGCGATGAAGCCCTTCACCGACCGAGCCGTGAGGACGGTCAACGAGGTGGGCGCTTTCGTGCTTCTGCCCACCGTTCAGGGCTGCAGGATCAGGCTGTAGTTGGAGTTTAAGAATCAGGGTTTAAGGGCTAATTGGGGTTCGTGTAACTGGGGTTCTTTAAAGGTTTAACTGGGGTTCTATAAGGGACTGCGTGCGGGTCAGGGTGTTGTGTTTAGTCGTTTTGTTTCAGGGTTTGCAGTTTTAGGTTCCTGGTTTATGGGGTCTCTATCAGGGTGGTTGTCAAAATTATGGTCCCATTTTAGGGTCCTTATTGCAGTACAGCACCTAATATTTAGGGTTCCCAAAAATGGACCATAATTTTGACAACCACCCATATAAGGGTTTGGGGTCTCAGGGTTCGCGATTGCCAGAGCGCATATGGCCGCTGGCTGGATAGGTCTTAGGTTGGGGCCTTCGAGCCTGTGGACTTCTATAGTCTCCTCAGGTTTTTTTTGTTCATATAAAACCCAAAACCTTTGAAAACATAATGTTAATATGGTGCTGAGGGTGGTATAGCCTCAATCAAGGAACATACCTCAACATGGACGGATGTAATTAAGCAGAGGTCGGACAAATTAGCAGGGCCGGAGATATCCCTCATCCGACCCAAGACTTCTTATGGGACAAGACTTGGACTTGATCCAAGCCGCATGAACGAAGCGAACGCAAGGTCGCATGCAGTTCCTAAACCCTAAACCCTCAGCCCTAAACCCCAAGCCCTGACCCTAAACCCTAAACGCCTAAGCCCCATAACCCTAAACCCTGGCTGCCACTCCAAAACAAGCCCCAGCTCCGAGGCAAACTCCCCGAAACTCGTAGGCCAAAAGGGGTTTTACTTGTAGGGATTTAGGGGTTTAGGGTTTAGGGTTTTAGGGTTCTGGGGTTTAGGGTTTTGTTGGAGCTTTATATAGGGTTCTGGGGTTTAGGGTTTTGGGTTTTTAGGGTTCTGGGGTTTAGGGTTTTGGGGTTTTAGGGTTCTGGAGTTTGGGGTTTTGGGGTTTAGTAGGGATTAGGGTTCCCATAATAGGGTTCATATGAAGGAATCTCAAGAATCTTAAACCCCCCTTTTGGGCTCCCATCAGAAACCTGCCTGCGAGCATACACCAGAACATTCCTGAACTCTTTTGATAGTCCTACAGGCCGTGAAATCTACCTCAAAGACTCTGAAGAATCCAGAAATTGATAAAGGGGTCTAGGAAAGTATTTAATTAGCAATACTACTTTGGGGGGCGGGGTCCTTATTCCAGTTATAGCATAAAATAATATAAAAAAAAACACGAAACCGTCTTCCAACTTTTTAAGGCGCCTACGTTAGATGAGCAGCAGGCCATCCCCGGCTCTGGGCCCTAGGCCTTAAACCCCTGGAGCCGAGGCGCTTCAGGTCGCCGGGAAGGCGGAGAATCGCGGCCTCCGGGCTTTGGTCCTCTTCAAGCGGGCCGAGCCCCTTTGGTGGCAAGGTACTATGGGGTTCGATAATTGGGTTCCCTTTAAGGCTTCACAGGGGTATTGTGGGTAATTACTGTGATAGGGTTCCCTTTCTGGGTTCGGTTTGGTTGTTTTGGGGGTTCAGGGTTGTAGTATTATAGGGTGGCAAAGCTTGCGAGCGCGCTCTTCAGAGGCTTCAACAAAGTGTCGTAATAGTATCATACTCTCTTATCGCCCCTGTATCTAAACAACATTTGTAGGCGTGCTTCGCCAAAATTGTAAGGCTTCGTTGGATTTCATTTCACACGGGTTTGCTTTGGTCTCGCGGTTTCCTAAGCCCTGAACCCTACGGTTTGGATTTTCTTTCAAAGCCTTGCCCCACAGATGCAGAAGCTGCCCTAAATGCCAATAGTACAGGTTGTTATTTGGTGTATGTTATACACACCAAGTTTAGAGTTAAATCCCTACCCCCTGCATGTCTCAAGCCATATAAATCCTATATTTCGGTACTGGTTCGCATGCCGGGGTCCGGGCGATGTTTGCGGGACGGCGTTGGCCGGCTTTCTAATTTTTCTCTGCAGACTGACTTCAGAGTCTGGGGTGTCGAAACTTACCTTTGGTTAGTAGGGAATGGAGGAATGGGTTACAATTATAACTACTATTACTACCATTCTTCCAGTCCCTACTAACCAAAGGGAAGGTAAGTATGTTTTCATCTAAGGTTTATATGGCTTCGTCGTGGATACGAAGTTGAGGGTTTCGTGTTCGAGCCCACAAATTCCGTGCAATCAAGGAATGAACTTGGGCGATCTATCAATTGCATGTGAGGCTTTCGATAATCGAAAGACTTGCCACGGGTTTCTGGGCTCATGGGTAGATTACGGCATCGTGATGTAATATGGGGGGTCGGAATACTCCAACAGTATTCCTTGTAATAGGGTTCCTGAGTATACTTAGAGCACGATAAACCCAACACCCTATTCTGATTATAGTAGAAGCCTAAAAGTTGGAAACCCAATAGCCTCAATCCTCAAGAGTCATGCATAATAAGGAATGCCAGCACTATTTGGCCTTCATCCGGTTTCCAACTATTCAGGGTTTACTACATAACCAGGCCCCTTCATGATTTCGGTAGGCATGGTAGCCAAAAATATCGTCACCCAGGACCATGGTTCTGGCTGGCAGGCATGGGGGTTGGGGGTCGGGCTTGCTATAGAGGCCCGGAGTAGTTGGCCACACGATTTCCCCAATGTTCTGCAAAACTCGAGTCTGATTCTCCAAGCCTTGATATTAGATGAGAGT